AAAATATTTCATTACATTTTTTGGGTTAATTAAGACAAAAACTATTATATTTTATGTTAATTGATTAATAATTATATTTTTTATTGAATAATATAATAGTTAATATTAAAATTAGTAATTATATTTTATACTAAATAATATATGAAAGTTAAATAAAATTATATTTTACACTAAAATCAATATTTTTTATATGATGAAGATGTTGTTTATTAATAAATTAATTTTGTTTATGTCATAGTAAAATTTCTTAAAATCACATAAGCAATTGTTATAATAAATGTAATATTTTTCAGCTAATTAATTGGTCATTATCACTCAAAATTATAAAAAGTGTATATTTATTGCATTTTATGCAATCAATATAGTGATTCGTATACAATCAAATCGTGTGTACTATTTATTTTAACCAATGATCAAATTTTAAAATATAATACTATTATATAATTTTTAAATTTAATATTATATACATAAATATAACTTATAATACTATATGTTTGAAATATAATACAATTATATAACTTATAATTTTTATATTATATACATAAATATAACGTATAATATTTAATTTTATTTACATTTGTGCAAATGCACAAGATCGAATACAAGTATTTGTTAAAGAGAATGAATATTAGGTGAATGCCACATAAATGTCGCATCAAATTGCTGGCCATTAATTCTAACACCGACCATTTTGAACTGCAAATTTGTGGGAAACCTTTATCTCCTCATTAAATGTTGCATTAATGGCTGAAATTTAATGACTCGGTAAATGCGGGGAGATGATATCTAAATAATATATTAGCAATTTTCTAATAAAAGAAAAAGATAAAAAACCCGAAATGAAGTTTCACAAACTCCTCGCCCTTACTTTTCTCCTCTCTCTTGTTTGTTTTTCATCCTCAGCCCAAGGTATGTACAAAATTATTTTTTCTTTTACTTATTCTCTTGTTTCAATCAGCAAAATGCTTTAAATTTTTTTCTCCTAAATAGTTGATGAAATAGTATTATTTTATCAAATAATAAACATTTTTATTTCTGGAATTAATAGACACTTACGCGTATAATAAATATGCTGAGTTGTATTTACATTGTAACTTTTGGCAGGCACAACAGGAATGTTAAGCACTTGGAAGAACAAATGCCAGCTGATAAGAGGGCTTAATGACAAAGAGTGCAATGAGTTTTGTGTGGGTACCTACATAAATACCGAATACAAAAATGTTTCCGGCAAATGCCATAGGTATTTCATGTTTGTCTATTCCATGGGCGATTGCAAGTGTTACGGGACAAAATAAATAGCAACTTGCAAATAATATTGTAATAATGAGGATACCTATTGGAATTATACTTTACGATGAAGTACCCTAATTGAATGATGAAAAATCTAAAACAGTTATACAGAGGCCAGCTTATGTATGTGAATATATTGCTTATAGCGAGATGAGGTCCGACATTTTGTAAGAGATAATTATGTACGATCTATCTCGAAACTGCGGAATCATGAATGGAATGGTCCATGATGCTAAATATTCCTAATTATAATTAGAGGCGTAAATATATATTGTTTGAGCATAGTACATACTTTGTACTAACTATTCTGTCATGCCAAAAATAATATATGAAAATCATTACCAAAATCGAGATATTTGTTGCCATGGGAAGAACCTCCAAATGAAAGTTATGAGAATCATTGTTTTCAAGTGGAGCCGTCCGATCCAGGTGGGTGATTCGGACTAGGTGACAACATATCTAGTCAAAAATAGTCGAAAACCCAGTCAATTCGGTCTTGACACGGCCTAGTCAACTTGGTTTGACCTGGCCATTATACTTTTTTTTTATATTATACGTATATATATATATATACATATATATAGGGTTGGAATCATATGAGAATAGAGGATAATGAAAGAAATGAGAATGAATATGAATCATTAGATCCATCAAGTTAATGGTCATGATTAAGTCAAACATTAATAATGTCAGTAAAAAAGATCATGCCAATTTCGTAATTAAATGGTCATATTGTGGTCAAATATAGGCATTTGACCACTTATTAAGGGTATATTAGTCATTACATTTTTTTTTCATCTCACCTAGTGGGCCCCACCCAACCCACCCCCATCTCTCTCACACACTAACACACATCTCACATCTCACGCACAGGCACCGACACAGTCCACCAGATGCACCACCTCCACCTCCGGCCGGCGACTTCCGACAACCGTCATCAACACATCGCCCGTCTCCGCCACCCCCGCAGCCAACCTCCAACAGTGCGCCACCAACCACCAGAAGCCCACCACCAACCACCACCAACCTCGCCACCAACCTCTACCAACACTGATACCAACCACCACCAGACCAGCCACCAACCACCACCAGCGCCGCCATCGACTCGAAACACCACCTGCCCGCCACCGACACAAACCACCACCAGACCTGCCCCAGCCGAGAACAGACACGCCGACGCATAGAAACATCGCCACCCGCACAACCGCCGTCTGCAATTATCGATTACCAACATCTACTCGCTCCGCCGTCTATCTCCGTCGCGGATATCCCGCACCGTCCATCTCCTCCCTGTGTGTCGCCTATCTATTTCATATCTCCAATTTTTGGCCAACACGATCTCCCGACTTAATAGAGCACCTCCGACAAATAAATGGTTTCGACGGCGGCGATTTTGAAAGGCGTAGGGGTGATGGATTGGATTTTATTTTTTATTTTTTTCACGCTGAACTGTGAAATCGATTTGGGGATGCAATTGATTTGGGGTGCATATTTTACTGGGGTATATTACAATTTTTTTTTAAAAAAAATCTTTAATTATAATATAAAGTATTTAATGCATTAATTATATTATACTAAATTATTAAAAACTAAATAAATATAAAAATTTGATAAGTATTTCAAAAAAAAAAAAATCCGACATCGGACATAATAACCAAAATTCTAAAGTTTAAAAAGAATTAAATCGACGTATAAAATTTTAGTGCACTCCGGCAGTCATTAATGTTCAATTTGTCATATACTATTGTGTACGGTTTTTGTTGTTATTGTGCAGTCTGAACCGATAGAAAATTCATTCCAAATGAATTGAACGTGAACCAAATTACTTGATTTATTCTGCCCGTCAACCGAATTATTTAAATTAAAATAATGTATTAGTTTTTACATTTAGTATTTTTTTAATTTAATTTAATTTAATTTAATATTTTTTCATATTATTATTGATTGAAAAACATAATATACAAAATACCTAAATCAATAATATGCACTCTCATATACACAAATGTGCATTTAGTCTAACATTATTGTGTAGTCTATTAAGTGATTTTTTTTTATTTTTTATTTTTGTTTACCATATAATGTTTCTTGTGCATTTCAACGTTATAAAACTTTAATAATGTACATATTCACTTATCACATTATTTGAATAATAAAAATATATTTAGCATTTATAATTTTTTTATATAATATTTTACATTATTTTTTATTGGAAATAAAATAATATAAGTATATTGAAAATATAAATAATATTTTTTGTATCGTTTGATCGGTTCGTTATTTTGTTTATTTAGTTATCTATTTTGGAAATAAGGTGGAAATCGGAACGAAACAACCTAGATTCTAATATTTGTAAAAAATGCACATTGGTATGCTAATGTACATTATCGGAAGCTTTAATATGCATTTGGTCTAACGCTATAGTGCATTCCGACAGTCACTTACGTGCATAATATTTATAACTATTGTACATTCGGTACGGATTCTTTTACATGCAATTCTAAACTAAATTTGAACCAAAAACAACTGGACTATTTGTTTGATTAATCGAGTTACCCTGAAAAATTAAAATATTTTATTATTATAATAAAAGTATTTTATTTTTAGATATTATTTTTTTATTATAAAAATATAATATGTGTGTCATTAATACTAATGTGCATACGTCACTTTTTTTTCGTGCATTTTAATTTTAGAAAATTTTAATAAGGTATGTAATTATTACTAATGTGCATATACCAAATTATTTATATATCAAATAACATATTTAATATTTATAAATTTACATAAGATTTATATTATTGTGTGTTGAATATAAACAATATATATCAATCAAATTATTTTTACTATAAAAATACATTTATTATCTATAACATGTTATTTAATGTTTTATAGAGTATTTGTCGAAAATAATAATATTAGCGATAAATTAAATGTACATTAACACATATTAAAATGTTCAATAATGTAACAATATATTATTTTTATTTCATTTTTTTCACTCGGATCCGTGAGCAAAATATACATCATTGTGCATTCTCATAGACATTATTGCATAAAACAGTATTGTGCATTCTGTAGTATTTCTATGTTCAATTTCCATTTCCATACGAAATAATGTGGTATTCTTTTGTGATTATTGTTTATTTATTAAATTTCCAATAAATTACAGATTCACCCTATATCCTCAACTGCAATATAGCTAAAAAAATATAAAATTGCATTGAAGTCCTCCACATTTGTCAAATTCTCATAATGAAGCCCACAGTTTTGCTCCTACTGTTCACATCCAATTCTGGCCGGCATCGTCGCATCTCGCCGGCGCCGGCAAGTTGTAGGCTCGGGAACAGGCGGCGCTATGGTGAGGATGGGCGGAAAAGGGCAGCGCTACGGTGCACTCGCTGAAGAGACTTTCTCGACGGTTGGCTTCTCGCCGGTTGGCTCTCCGGCGGCATCGGACGGCGGTCTTCCTTCGGTCAGAGTCGCCGACGATCTCTGGTCCGTACGGCCATGTATCTGATGATATATAGGTGACGCCGGTGAGGAGGTCAGCCGCCATTATCCGCCGTGTGTGAGTGTGTGTGCATCGGCTCGATTTTTTTGTTGTGTGTGTGTGTATGTGAGAGAGAGAGAGAGGGGGATAGAGAATAGGATGTGTACAGGCTGTGAGAGAGAAACAGATAGCAGGTTGTTGATAGTGGGGGTGGGTTCTACTGAGGTAAATGGTTTGGATATTACCACATTACCCTTAATTAGTGTAAAAATTGACATTGTTTTGAGCCATTCAATCATATGATCTAATGACTAAGATTTATTCTTATTTCTTTCGCTAAGCACCATTCTCACCGGAGCGCGACCCTATATATATATATATATATATATATATATATATATATGTATATATATATATATATAGGGTTTGGTTCACATGAGAATGGTGGTTAGGGAAAGAAATGATAATAAATCGTAGCCGTTAAATCGGATGATCTAATGGCTAGTAAAAAAGCCAAAATTATACTCTAATTAAGGATAATATAAACATTTAATCACACATCAAACATCCACCACATTAATGGGCCCCACCACAATTAAATCTTCCAACCCGCACCTAGTTGTCACCCATATCTCTCTCTTTCTCCTCTTTGTCTCTCTCTCACACACACAACTAACAGGACTCAAGCACGCAGGCCCACACACATACACACGCCGGGATCGATCGGCGCACGGCAACCACTAACCACCCCACAGAGCGCCGCTGCAGCTATAGAGTCGTTCACCGTCGTTGCTCGCTAATGCCCGACAACGTCGGCGACCGTTGCCGTCTTTGTTTGCATCTGTCGACGTCGAGAAGGTTGTCTCCTCCGGCGACACCAACCAAAAAATCTTCCAGACACACGACAGTGCCATGGTTCCACTGCTCTGCCGCCGCGTCACCGCCGCCGTCTTCCCTTTCTTCACATATCGCGGCCCAACCAGTCTTGTCATGCTCTTAGTTCGTTCACAATCGTGGTGGCGACACCGACGACAGTGAAGACGAAGAGGCCGCGACGAGAATGTGGAGGTATGGGCGGCGACTGTGCAGCTCCGATGGAGAGAGATACAGAAAAAAACTCAGATTTTGGGAGGTTAAATTTGAAAATTAGGTGAGTTTCAAGGGGTGATATGTAATTTCATGAAACTTAATTATATTGTAATATAAATCATTGGTCAAATATGTAGCTGATTATGAGTTTAATATATGCACAATGATGATAAATAAAATGCATAGTATTTCGTATGAATACACAAATTAAAGATATTATGCCACAGAATGCACATTATTGTTAGCCGAAGTACACACTAATTAATGACTGTGATAATGCACATTAGTGCATA